CTGGAATCTGATAATATAGATGCCGAAATAATTACCTATATTATTCCTTAGGGTTCAATGGGTCCCAAAAACCTATTCTAATTATTAAGGCCCCTACATTACTTGTAGTTCGGGTTAGGATTTAGGATCTCACTGCAAGGGTCCAGGAGGCTTAGGGTAGGGTTTCGAAGCTTCGGAGAAGGCTTTCTGGGTTTTGCAACTAAGTTTTCGGTTGCAAAGGTTCCAGAGATCCTAAACCCTAAACCCCAAAACCCCAAACCCTAAACCCTAAACCCTTAAATAAACCCTTAGGTTCCGGGTTGTAACGGCGTAGTTGTAGGCCCTAAACCCTAAACCCTAAACGTAGTTGTAGGTTGCATCCTGGGATTCACGGCTCGACCTTTTCGGGTCTTTCCCGGCGAGCTGCGGCGCTCGGGGCTATTGTAGGGTTTAGGGCTTAGGGGTTAGAATAGGGTTCATAGGATTCCTTTAAAGGGTTCCTTAAAGGGTTCTATAAGGGTTATAACTATGAGGGTTTGCGGTATAGGGGCCTTAATAATTAGAATAGGGATTCGGGGCCCATCATACTGTAATTATAATAAGTAACCACCTAAAATAGTCAGTATTGGTAGTTATTTAGGCTTCTCTATTATTGGGGCTTGTGGTTTGGCATCAGGGTTGTGGGTTGAGGGTTTAGGGTTAATGGCGGGTTGTTGTAGATAGTCAGCTGGAAAGATGCCATAACGCCAAAGAGACCAATACGCCCTAATTAGGATTGCATCGCGAATCCTGATATGAACGCCCTGGTAAGAGAAGGCATTAAAAAAGCGAGTCGGAAATCAAGACCAAAATCCTGCAACATAACCTCTGCGATCTAGATCCGAAACCCTCGACGCTACACTCTATGTACAAGTCCTAAAACCCTAAACCCTCAACCCTAAACACCAAACCCTAAACCCTAAACCCAAGTCCTAAAGCACACAAGCCCACAAAACTCCACGCCGTCGGCCGCAGGCCCCGAACCTGCGAGGCTCTACCAGCCCTAAACGCCTGAACCTGCAACCTCAAATTAGAAACCATAATCACATGGGTTTAGGGTTTAGGGTTTAGGGTTTTAGGGTATTAGGGTTTAGGGAACCATAATCACATAATCGTAAGCCAATGGCCGAAAGCTGACACCTTAAGCCTTAAGCCCGACGGGCTTAAGCCTTCAAGCTCAGTGAGACCCATGAGCTGAAGCACTGCAAACCCTGAAAGTTCTGAATCCTTGACCATTTTTCAAACCCTCAACCTCAGAACAATTCAAGTCTGGAATCTTCCAGAACTTTCAGCCCGACACTTTCCACAACTAATGACCCTAAACACACAACGAGACCCTAAACCCCTCAACCCTAAAGCCAAAAAGCTGAACACACAAATGAACCCCTAAACCCCTAAAGCCTTACATCAAAAAGGCAAACACACGACTAAACCTGTAAACCCCTAAGCCCTAAACCCTTGAGCCAAAAAGGTAAACACGACATCTTGCATAAACCCCGAAACCCTTAAACCAAAAAGGTAAACGCGCAACTAAACCCCAAACCCTTTAACCAAAAAGGTAAACACTCAACCAGACCCCAAAACCCCTCAACCCTAAACCCTTAAGCCAAACACGTAAACACCTAACCAAACCCCTAAACCCCGAAGCCCTTAAACCAAAAAGTAAACACACGACTAAACCACTAAATACCTAAACCCTAAACCCTTAAGCCAAAAAGGTCAACACACAACTAAACCTCTAAACCCCTAAATCCTACACCCTTAACCAAAAGCGTTTCCCTCCCTCACCCTTCGGGGCCAGGCAGTGGGGATCACGGCGGAGGCCCTCTTTGCCAACTCCAAAGACCTCAAATCAGCGGGAACCTTACCGTAAAGCAGAAAAAAAAACAGGGTTTAGGGTTTAGGGTCCCTAAAACGTGCAAAACGGAAGATACACACAGACTCTCGACACCACAGGTACTGATCATCTGTTCATCATTATCATGGGTTTGTTCTTGAAGCCTCCCCCAAGACCACTTTTAGGACTAGCTCCTACCCGTTTGGTAATTTTCATCACGATCATGGGATCGTTCTGTACGACTCCCAAACCGCCCCTCCTTCCAACAACAAAAAACACTGTTCGGAACCGCTTGTAATTACCCTTTCGATACGGTCGATGATATAAATCCTGCATTACCTTAGAGACCCTATACTATCGGAAAAAAGAAATTTTCCTTATACGATGGGTAATGCAGGATTTATATCATCATTCGTAATGATGACTTAAAAGGTCCCCCCAATACTCGAAGCCGGTCGGCGGTTAAACGTTGAGCACTTGGGAGTTGCTGGGCTTTGAAGTTAGCAGGGAGTCAGAAGTTCACGGATCTTCATTGCATAATGGTGCCTTCAAGGAACAGATCTCAAACAATCAGTGAAGACTGGTAATGTAGGGGCCTTAATAATTAGAATAGGGTTTTGGGGCCAATCATACTATAATCATGATAAGGACCACCCCAAAAATAATATAGGTAAGTATTTAGGCCCCTACATTACTCCAAAACCAGGAGTGGGGCTCGGCCAGGTTCTTGGGTTTAGGGTATGTAATCGTGGCTCCAACTACCTTCTGTTGGCTTTACCCTATAATGAAGGGGTTTAGGGTTTAGGGCTTAGGAGTCATAACCTACTGTTCTGTACGGTTTGGGGTTACAGGTAGGGGGCCTAGGGCTTCGGGTACGAGGTTGAGGGTTTAGGTTTGGGCTGTTGGAAATTTGGCGCTTGAGGGGTGGGTTGCCGGGTTGAGGGCTTGGCACATCAGATGCTAAATTCATGGAGGGTTAAGGGTTTAAGACTGTTGGTGGGCAGGGGTACCTGTCCAGGTCGTTGGCCTCCTCATCGCCCTTTTGTGAGAACGTCAGAGACTTCCCGACCGACATGTTATCCGAGCCAGAAGCGACCAGAGATTTCTGGCAGCACTCAGCTGCAATGGTGGCGCAATGGAGGATCTCGTCCATGAGATTGAGCGCATGGAGATCATTAGGGGATCGGTTTTGGTAGACCCAGGTCTAACCAGGCGGTAGAGCTGGCCATCCAGCGAATGAAGTGAAGCACGCCACGCCGGTGCTCGACAGCAGCGCTGCCCCAACCTGCGTCTCACTCCCCTTGGAGGTACCGTTCGGGATCGCGGACGGGCGCGCGAGACCATAGCCCGGTTGCCCATAAGGCTCGGCGTTTAGAGTCAGTATTTTGGCCACACCCCCTCGTAAGTATATACGATAAATCAAGACCCTCCCATTGCATGCTGTCTCGGCCTGCATGCTGCAAGGATTTCTGCATGCTGTCTCGCTCTTTGTTTTTCTGGGCAGCACACATTCGTGTGTTGTGACTAGTCCACACGCTTCGCTGAGGATTTCACCCGTGTCCCGGAAGCAAGCATCTTCTGTTGTGTGTTGAGTACGATCTTGTGAACAGATACTGCGTGATGCTCGCTCGCAGGTTTTCAGTCGGACCGCTTTCTTTTGGAACCGCGGGGGTTCTTCGCGGGGTCCGCCCTCTGAAGCCAAGACCAAGCCATATAGTAGGCTTGAGTCATTGATCTGTTTGTCCAGATCGTTGTTGTAACAGCAGGCGCAGCTGTTCCTTGTGATCGGATGCTGCTTTGATTGAAAGCTTGGTAC